CCACCATGGGTCTCTGCCTCCTGCCCCAGTTACCACCATAGCTCAGCTGGATGTCCTCCACTTGTAAAGGAGGTGAATGCAACCTGTAAAGGGGGAGCTCCCCCACTCAGCACTGTTGGCATCTACCTCCTGACCCATCTCTGCCCCCTTGCAGCCTGGAGGCACCCAGGTGGGGTTGGGGAAGGGGGATCCCAGGCAGGTGGCAGCAAGGTGCACCCCCCCCCAGACCCGTTGCACTTCCCAGGTCTGTCTCTCTCTCTCCAGCCTGGTGCCTGGGCCCAGAGGCCTCCACACACTCCATCCCAAGGCACGGCCCCTCACCAGCACCATGCCCTTGGCTCGCAGCCTCTCCGTCACCTCCCTGACTGGGCTGGAGGACTGGGAGGATGAGGTTGACTTGGAGAACGTGGTCCTCTTCGAAGTGGCCTGGGAGGTGGCCAACAAAGGTCAGCCCAGATGCCTGGGTTAACCCCTTGGGGAGGGGAGGGCTGGTGGGTTAGAGTGAGGTGCTTTTGGGGAGGGGAGGGAGAGGGCTGAGAGCTAGGACTCCTGGGTCCTCTCCCCAGCTCTGCCCTGACTCTTGACTGGTCCATGTGGATCTCTCCTTGAGGTGATGGAGACTGTGGGCGCCTGATAATCTCCACTGTGGGCTCCCCGATGCCCTTGACAAGTCACTTAGAAGAGGAAAATGGGTGTTGGCCTCCTGACCCTATCCCAAAATGCACTGCAAGCCACTAGCACTCTTTAGGTCCAAGAGCACAGGGCACTATAGGATACATGTGCCAGTTGCCCCATGATGCATTGTATCATGCTAGGCCATGGCCTGCTGGGAGTGAGAGCATAGTGCATTATGGGGTCTGTGCACTAGGATTCCCACAATGCGCTTCACTTCTCTAAACAAGAGCACAGTGCATTATGGGATACTAGCCCTGGGAATGCCACAGTGCACTGTGTTTAGTTAGACCATTACCCACCCTAGCAAGAGCGTAGTGCCTTATGGGATGTGTTCATCTCCTTCCCACAATGCATCATGGTAGAGAGGGGGTATAACTAGCTGGATGGGGAGGACAGGGGTGTTGGAGGGCTGATTTCCCACCCCCTCCTCCCCAGCCAGAACAGAGCCTGTAGCAGGAAAAGTAGCTGGGTGCAGCCTGCCCTACCTCATAAGTGCCCAGCCTGCTCCCTTGGGCTATAAGAAGCTTTCCCTTCTGCCTCATTATATGAGATCTTCATTGTTAAGCAGCTTCATTAAGCTGGCATCCTGCCCTGGCCCCCTGAGGCGAGAGCTCTGGTGCCCTGCCCTTTCCAGCTTAGAGGCTGTAATGGGCTCCCTTACTGCCTGGGTTCTCTCTCTAGAGGTTTAGGGTAAGGAAGTGCCAGGATGGTCTTGCCTCTTGCAAATCCCCCTTGCTTCTTACAGCTTCATCTCAGTGGTGGATGAGTTGGACCTGTATAACTATCCCCCAGCATGCTGCACCCCAGTAGCAGCCACATCTCTGCACTGGGTGAGGGATCATCATATAATCTGACCCCCAATACACGCCATCCCAGAAGCAGCTGCATCTCAACCTGACTGAGGGGTTCCTGGATAAATAGGCCCCCTGCAGTGCCCCACCCCAGAGGCAGCTGCATCTCATCTCAGAGCAGTTCCCCTGGGGCTGTATGCTTCCTTCATGAGCTCCTTTCGGTGCTTAAACGTTCTTGGCTTCTGTCCCAAAGTGTTTTTAGTGACTGGGCCTTGTCCTGTCATTAGAGAGGAATAAATGGAAGCTCTCAGCCTCTGCCTGAGCAGGCTCCTGCTCCCTCCCTGGAGCTGGATTGGGGTAGAGTGTATGCTGCCTGTGTCAACCTCCACCTGTGCATGGTGGGAGGTTGGGTGGTGGGCACTCTTGGCTTGGGTTCTCCCAGCTGGTTGGAGGGAGATGGGGGAGGGAGGGTGGGGAAGGTGGGTCTCGGGGCAGAAGAGCCCTGGGGGTGGGACAGTTGCTCACTAGATGAGGAGTTGATTGACTGTTGGGAGTCCCACAGTGCATTGCGTCCCACTAGGCCACTGCTTGTGGGGAGAAAGAGCACAGTATATAGGAGTATATAGAATATATATACCAGGAGACTCATAAAGCACTGTGTCCCTCTAGGCTGCTGTCTGCTGGGAACTAAAGTGCCGTGCACTGTGGGATATATATGCCAGGAAGCCAACAATGCATTGTGTTCCACTAGGTCATTGATCACTGGGAGCAAGACCGTGGTGCATCATGGGATACATATGCTGAGAGACATGTGCCAGAAGGCCCACAGTGTATTGTCTCACTAGGCCACTGCTTTCTGGGAGTAAGAGTGAAATGCATTATGGGATGCACATGTATGGAATCCCACAATACATGCCAGCTCATTGCACTGTGGGATATGTATGCCAACAAACCCACAATGCACTGCTTCCCTTTAAACTAGCCTGCTTGGCATGTGCAGTACATTGTGGGATAGCCCCTGAGGAGTCTCACAATGCATTGGGGCAGCCCCAGTGTACTGGGGTCTATGTGAAGTGAGCTGGGAGGGAGGGTGCCCTCTTTCCCCCACCCCCGGGAAGCAGGGGCATGACTAACCTCCCCGTGCTCTGGGGGGCAGTGGGTGGCATCTACACGGTGATCCAGACGAAGGCCAAGATCACGTCAGATGAGTGGGGCGAGAACTACTTCCTCATCGGGCCCTACTTGGAGCAGAACGTCCGCACCCAGGTGGAGCTCCTTGACCCGCCCAACCCAGCCATGCGGCGCACCATCGAATCCATGAACTCCAAGGGCTGCAAGGTACCACCCTGAGCCAGGGAGGGGACCCAGGCATCCGGGAGGCCACAGCTGGTGAGGTGCAGTTGGGGGCAGTATGGGGAGGGAAGGGCCCCAGGTGCTGGTCCTTTCCTTGCCCTTTCACCCCGCCTGGCAGCCTGCGGGGAGAGGACCCAGTATCCAGGGCCAATACAGAATGAAAGGTGGGATCCTATGTAGGTGGGGAGAGGACCCAGGTATCTGGGACCTACAAGACATGGTGTTGGAATAGCCTTTTGGTTGAGAGTCTATCCTGTGATCTATGAGGCAGGAGGGGCTTGGGTTACCCTGCTGCCCCTTCTGGTCTGAGAGGTTATTAGGGTTCCCATATTGGGGTTACCTATTCTAGACCCCAGCAATTTCTCTGCTCTCTCCCCAACCAGGGAGTAGAACCCAGGAGTCCCAGACACCCAGCTGTGACCCACCAGCCCCCCACACCCTTAGAGCTGGGATAGGACCCAGATGTGCTGGTTTCTGGCCCCCACTCATCCCACAGCTAAGAGACAACCCAGGGGTCTTGGCTCCCAGCCCCTTTTTTGCTCTGGCACACCAGCCCCCACTCCCCTCCCAGAGCTAGGGTGAGAGAACTCAGGCATTCTGGCTTAGGCTAACCAAAATTAAATATGGGCGGGGGGTGCTGCCCAGTGCCATACCAACGAGGTTTGGTGCCCAGGGCAAAGCCTATAGCAGCAGCCTGCCCTCACCCCACACACAGATCTAGGGGCACATGCCCCCACCACGTCTGCCCAGGAGTGCATGCAGTGGTGGGAGCTGTCCTCCCCATGTCCCCACGCCCCCCAAATGAGCTGTTTGTGGCTCTATCCTACGTCCCACCCTGGCTGGGCAGCACCTGTTCACACCCCTTTGCTTCAGTGCCTGGGGCAGTCGCCCCACTCACCCCCCTCTTGCTATGACACGGGTGCTGCCACTTCCTTCAGTGTTGGGGTCTGCCCACTTGCCCTCCACTGCAGTAGCCAGCTC